TTTTCTTAAACCTTTTATTACATAGTAGAGCTGCGGTGCAGCTATATTATGATTGTAGCATTAATGGGTCGGCGCAATTGGGATATGACCACGCTGTCAGAGAATACCAGCGTAAAATAGCAGCTTGATGCTGTTGTGTACTCTATGGAGAGTGTAGAGAATTGGAAACCCTTTTTACTGGAAACGAGCCATTCCATCTTAGTCCTCAGGTGTGACAAACGCATCTGCATTTTGAATTTTAATCGAGGATATACGAAGATGTCTATGGGCCTTAGCATCCACTTACCATCAGGTTGACTGTGTTCTCGTGTTTCACCAATAATGTATACAAAAAAGTCTTCTGAATGACATAACCTGTTATAACGAAACGTGATGAACAGAATAAAGTGCAATCCCCGGAGTGATCTAGGCTATATTTTAAAGGAATAGTCTTTGATGATTATCTTGAATATAAATAACACCATTTTAATGAATCCTACCCAGGTGAAGCCGGAGCGGGTCGCTAGTCAGAAATATAGGTGAGTCCTAATGGCACGGAGTTTTTTTTATTAGATATTACAAAACAAAATGCAGATGCCTTGTCACCCGTGAGGACTAAGATGGAATGCCTCACTTCCAGTAAAAAGAAAGCAGTAAGTCTCCGGTTCTCTACACTCATCATACGAAATACAGCAGCATTAAGCTACTATTTCACGCTGGTATTCTGTGAGAGCGTGGTACTTCCCCGGTCGAGCCGACCCATTTGTGCTACAACTATACTAGTAATATTACTGCAGCATGCCTCTACCACGTATAAAAGGAATACTTATTTTACCAGAATATCATGCACTTCTCCGATATTTTAAGTACTGTCATTTTATGCGCAAAGTATCTGTGTATATTTGAATGACATTTTTATAATGCAGTTTTCAACCACTTCCAGAAGGCTCATTAAACTCAAATTTTGCAAATGTATTAAGAATCGATGACAATAAAATATAATATTTTATGACTATCACCTAGTATTTTTACAAGGATCATCACAACTCATAATCAAAGCGTGTTATTTAAGAGTTTTTTTAAGCTTAATTATATCATATGCTTTGAGGTTTATCATCGAAAAAAAAAAACCAGAGAATATTCGCTTTAAACTATCGCTAACTAATTTATGTTTAAGTTTCAAAATAAAAGTACAGTGTTATTGTGTTTCATCTGAAAAATGTAAAATTTTCAGGTAAAACGTAGGAGAAAGCAAGGTTTAATATTTTATTTATTAAAGTAGGATCATATATGTAACTCGCTTTTTAAATTCGCCAAAATCTTACTACATGTATTTTTCATAATAAAATGTTTTTGAGAGTTAGAGCTATTTATTACTCAATAACTATTTAATTTCTAAATTCAATTCAATAAATAAACCCATCGTAACCACATGAACAATATAATATTCTTTGATATGACATTTTCGATGTCTGCTGTATTTTTCTGAAAGGATATTGATTTATTTTATTTTGTATGTTGCTCTTCAATAAAGGTTTGTAGATTATTTATTACGCACCAAATATTTAAGCGGTAATTTATTTATTCTCCAAAATACACATACACCGAAACCAGGTTATTTGAGGGCGAGATAGTTATCGGGTAGACATTCCAGCAACGACGGGGGTCTGAAGCATTTTTCTTCAAAAATCGTGCGGCTGTAATCCAGTTAAACGCCTTTACGTTTTTCAAACTTTCTATGAGTAAAGAGTTTGAAGACTACTCGCCTTTTCATTTTATTACCTTTGAGCAAATAACCGTTATTATTTTTACCCGACCGTGGCACACCCTAGAGCAGGGCAATATACCTAAGACGTATGTGTGTATATGTACAGTTAATGTATTTTCTTACTAAATTTCTTAATGAAAATTATTTGAAAATGAAAAATGATTTATTGATTTACAATCAGTGGCAGCCCTAGGGCGATACGTGCGGTGCGACCTCACCGGGCGCAGTCATCGATGGCCTAAATCAGCCGTAACGCTACCACCGGTCTCCAGTCACCGGTCACCAATTTGCTCACTCCTATCACTAACATTCTGTTTTTTCGCTAGTTGAGAAGTCAAAGCACCAGTTTTTTGTTGCTTACAAGCCAGTAAGTGACTCTTCGGAAGAGGCGCTTATTGGCCTCTTTCTTCATGCAATTGTACAAGTATTTGACTTAAACTTGAATGATTATCGAGGTCAAGGGTACAATAATGCTGTAAATATGGCAGGAAAATTAAAGGTGTTTAAAACATAATTCTCGGGAATTTTTCAATCCATATGGTTGAAGTTATAGAATAATAGAATTAATTTTCTCATATTCGCGTAATAAAATAAAACAATGTGTCCTGCCCAATGTGAAGAGTACTTCCGAACCCCCCCCCATTGCATTCAAGATTCCCGTCACCACCACTCCTAGCACCACCACTCCCAACATCAACACACCCAACACGACCACACAAGGGATGACAAATCACCCTCGATAATACGATACGAGTGTCGTGTACACGAAGCATCCTCAGGTTAAGTAGACTCTGCGGAGGCTGAAGGCTACGTGAGCGGCAAGCCGAAATAGCTGCTATTTATACAAATCGCTAATCAATAAGTTGTATAAATAGCAGCGTGGAGAGAGCTAAAAGAGTGCTAGGAGTGGTGGTGATGGGATTAGTGTGGACGAAGATAGTGTCAGCCTCCGCAGAGTCTACTTCATCTGAGGATGCCTCGTTTTTGAGGCGAAACACGTGTCGTGTTATCAAGGGTGGTGTGTCGTTCCTAGTGTGTGGTGGTGTTGAGAGTGGTGGTACTGGAAGTAGTAGTGCTGAGAGAGGTGGTTCTGGAAGTGATGGTGGTGCTGGAAGTGATGGTGATGGTGATAGCACACGCAACTGAGGCAGGTTGGGAGGTGCTCTTCAGACTGGACAGGACACATAATTTAATTTTATTACGCGGAAATGAGCAAATTAAGTTGTAACTAGTCCAATATAGTGGATTTCCGCAAAGTAACGCCTGATTCTATTTATTATCTCCAATATCGCTCATAAAAGTTTGCAAAACTCGCTGAGAGAGTAGAGTTTCTAGCCTAGCTGCTATTTGCTTTCACTACTCTTCAGCTCGTGATGCTCTGAATCTTCATTAAGAAACAAGTGACGCATCTTGTCAGTTGCAACATCATAAGCGATGTCACTAATTCAGTACATGAAACAATTTGAGTTCAGTTAAAAGATCGGCTTGGTATGATAATATATTGTTTCAAGTTAACATTGAAAGTAAGGCTACACTAAAACTAGCGCTGTCTCAAACTTCTATTGAGGTTGCAAACTCTTTCTTTGGACTCTCGCGTTTGACTAGTTATTGCACAAGATGCCAGAGTTTCGCATTGACACACTGAGTTACGCTGATGATCTTGTGGTCAAAGGTGATGGGTTTTTGTAAAAGTACTTTATTATTTATCATACAAAGAGCTCTAAACACCATAAATAACTGGTGTACGGAGAAAAATTTATCATTTAATGCTGATAAAACTTTTATAATACCCTTTACCAAAAAGAGACGGTGGGACAAATTAGTCTTACCTAAACTTAATGGTAAAGAAGTACCATTCTCCACTGAAGTTAAGTATTTGGGTTACGCCGAAATACAATCGACTAAAAATAACGTGGAACTCTTACCTTAGCAAGTAAATCATAAGGCTATAATTGTTTCAAGTACGTGCGGTCGTATGGTTGGAAACAACTGGGGCTTGCAACCCAGTATGATCCTAGGGCTTTAAAGCAGCATAGTGAGGCCGATTATCACCTACGACTTCTTTGTCTGATCTAATAAGGCCAACCAAAAGATGACTGCGGACAGACTAAATAGTCTACAAATAACAGCCTACTTAATGGCAACTCGAGCGATGCGATCATAGCCTGGAACGGCCTTTAATGCAATTCTGTGCCTAACGCCCCTTGATCTTTATTTATACAAGGAGACGAGGGCTAGTTTGTATAGAATTAATGCCCAGGGCGGTCAGCGCTTGCATTACTAAAGATCCATGCTCGACTCAATTAAAGAAACACGGGTCTTATGCATGATCTCTGATAGTATGCGTTCACTTCACACTTTTAGTAAATAGTATGTGGAACTAATCTCCAGAGAAGTACTATACTTTCATCTGTGAGGTTGGTAGCGTTATATGGTGTACGGATAGCTTCATGGGCTTAGATGACGTTTTGGAATACATGGGGAACGCCTCAAATTAAAACTTAGTATGAATTTGGGTATATTCACCTCTATCTTGCAGGAAGAAACCTTCGCAATACTTCAGTGTGCGAAAATCAATATACCGGTAACCATTTAATCTATATAAACTCCGATAATCAAGCAGCATTGTTAGCACTGAGATCAAACTTAGTGAACTCAAAGCTAGTTGGAGACTGCGTGAATCGTCTATATTCTGTGGGATGTAACAGCAAGGTTGTTTAAAGATGGGTTCCGAACTACGTGGGTATTGTAGGCAATAAACTTGCCAACGAGTTCGTATGGGAGGGCTCAAAGAGCACAAATATTTGGACCCGGGCCATTTTGTGGAATCTCGAAAAGCAAACTTAAATCTTTAAACTCTTTAACACAATAAACCACCTAAGCTCTGGTCTCATACACCTGGATTAAAACATTTTAAAACCTAAATCCGTGCTTTTGATCATAACGACCGCTAAGTATACGTATGTATCTGCCTGATACACTAAATGGTTTTTATTGCATTTTTGGCATCTACATATCCGTATTTATAATATAAACAATTTTTTTTTAGTTTTTTCTTTATAACATATTTTTTTCTAAACGTATTACTGTTTATCTGCAATGCCTAATAAAAAATCACAGCGTACAACCATTTAAGTTCCGGATAAATATTTTAACGCGGGGGGAACGGGGCGCCGGTTGCAGGTAACTTCCCCTCCCTCAGTTCTTCTGCGGACTGCGAGTGGCATGCGCAATCGCTGCATAATATTGTGCGATGTCGAGTAAACGTTATATTTTTTTAAATACGCTGAAGGAAGATGCAATTAAAGGACGAAAATTTAAGATTACTGAACAAATAAGGTTATCAAACCAAATATGCTCACCGTCAAGACAAGGTAAGTAGTATTTTCTAATTATTTTATCAAGATTGAAGTGTATTTTCTATGTAATTGTCTTAAATTGTGGTTTTTTACCATACTGAAAATATCTGAACACGTCCTGAATCCAAAATTTATCATAATAATTACATTACGCGCATTTTATTCAATCCCAATGCACAAGTATGCAACTACGTAGTTACACATTTATTCGATGGAATTCAGTTTGATCGTAAATCCTATCTAGCACTTACACACTTATGCAATGAAATTTTGTTGAAGTGAAATCAGTTAACTAACACATATATTGTTTTACATTGGGATTTCGTTTATTCGATTATAAATATTTAACTGTACACTTACACAGTTATACTTTAATTAAATTGTGTGGATTATCGAAGAAAGTCGAGTACCTTACAGCATTTTGGTGTTTTTCAGATACTCCAGTAACCTTCTCTAAAGATTTCACTGAAGAAGACTTGCAAAAATTAACGGAAATGATCAAGGACAGTGATGAAGAACCAAGTGCTAAAGAAAGAGATCTTAAGGCCATAGAATGTTCCATAAACCATTCCTCAATAACTACAAGTTGTGAAGCACCAGTAGTCTTGTCAGAAGACTGCTTTCATGACCCCACATTGGCACCTATAATGCCACAATCGCCTATGATGATCAGTTTCAGTTCAGGTATTAGAAATGATATTTCTATAGAGTCACCAAATTTCTCGTCATTCATAGCTCAAGAAATTGCCCAGTTAGAATGCACTCACTCACCAGCTCCCATACCACTTGTTGCCATGCCAGTTAGTTCCCCTGTACCAATAGAAACCCAGTCGTCAGAAAACGCTCTTCACAACAGTGAACCACCACCGAGGAAAAGGCATATCACAAGAAAAAAAGATAAAGGTCGATTACGATTGATCCATCGAGATCAATGGTTGGATGTTCAGCGTAAGACAAATAAAAATTTAGGAAAAGCATATAAAGGTAGGGATGGAAGACTAAGGAAAGGGAAAGAGATGGGGCTAGCATGTGGAGAAATTTGTAAGTTAAAATGTTCACAAAAAGTTACAGATTTTGAACGTAACCTGCTTTTTAAGGCATTTTGGTCGATGGGAGAGATAGTTCGACATTGGGATTTCATCAATAAGTACTGTGATAAAATTCCAAAACGTCGTGTTACTACTGAAACTGCTTCAAGAAGAGAATTCACTTTACGATATTATTTACCTACAAAAGTAGATGAAATTCAAAATGCCAATGAAATAAATGAGACTGATTTGCTGGCTACAAAGCCACAGGTAACGAAGACACAAGTTTGCAAAACCATGTTCTTGAACACTTTTGGAATCAAGCAAGGTTTCGTTTACTCCGCTCTTAAAAAACTGTCATTGCAAGGCACTGTTGTCCACGACAAAAGAGGCCTCCATGGGCATACTAAAAAAATCACTGATGAGATGATTGCCAGTGTTTGTCACCATGTGAACAGCTTTGCTCCTGTGGAATCGCATTATGTTCGAGAGCGAACTAATAAAGTGTACTTGGATGAATCTCTTACATTCGCTCGAATGTTTCTGCTCTATAAAGATTGGGATGATGCTCGAAACCAAAATAAAGTAAAAACAGCAAGACAATACAGAGATATTGTTAATAAGCATATAAATTTGGGATTCCATGTCCCCAAAAAAAATCAATGCGATGTTTGCCACGTGTATAAAAACTTACCACGTCCTATTACTGAAGAGCAACTTAAAATTTACAACACACACATGAGAAATAAGACAATTGCGCGAGAGCTTAAGAATAAAGATAAAGAAAGCTCTTTGAAATCAAATAAAGTTATTTCAGCAGTATATGATTTTCAAAAAGTGCACGGAATACCCTACGGTGAAACAAGTATTCTTTACTATAAAAGAAAATTAACCGTATTAAATTTCACCATTTTTGAAATGGGAAGCAGAGTTGCCAAGTGCTATGTTTGGGATGAAAGCACCGCAAGGCGAGGAGCAAACGAGGTGAGTAGCTGCTTATATGACTACATTAAAGAAAATCACCAAAAGGGCGTAAAAGTTTTCAACTTTTGGTCTGATAATTGTGGAGGACAGAATCGTAATCGAATTGTTTTTGCTGCCTACTTGCGAGCAGCAAAAGATTTTCAAGTCACCATAACTCATAAATATTTTGAGAAAGGTTATACACAAAATGAGGGCGACAGCGTACACGCACTTATCGAAAGAACTGCCAAGAATAAAATGGTGTACACACCCGAACAATGGTTTGCCCTCATAAGGTGGGCCAAACAAGATGGAAACCCATACATAGTAAAGAAAATGACTACTTCAAATTTTATAGATTTCAAAGCATTGCTCCCTGGATGCAACTGGACTATAAATACAGACAGAGAACGAATTTTCTGGTCCCATCTTAAGCAATTAGAAATATTGCCAGAATACACTGACAGAATACAGTACAAAACCGATTTTTGTGACCACAAGTTCAAGTGTATTATTGTAAATAATGCACTAGAGACTCCTAAAACTAGAACAAAAAACCGCATGAGATTAGACAATAGTCCACTTCCAGCCCCGCTTTCAAGAACATTGAGCCAAGCATACGAGGGAAAGCTTCCAATACCACAGGCCAAACTTCAGGACTTAAAATACTTATGCCGTAATAATATAATACCTTTCATTTATCATGATTTTTACGTGAGGCTGATAGAGGGTGATGATGAAAACGAACAAGGCCAAGAAGAAGAAGAAGAAGAAGAATAAACAGTCACTAAAAGATTTATCTTGTGATACTATTACGTAGATCTCTGTACGGGTAATTAGATTAATGATAATTTCAAAAGTGCCATTATTGAAATCGTTACATAATAAGTTAAATATAAACAGAAATATTATCCTTAAGAATATGATAAAAATATTAATTAGTAACTATTTATTTTATCAACATTTGATCTCAGTACAAGAACGTAACAAAAGAGCTTTAAAAAACAAGTATTTTCTGAAATTGTTAAGCAATAATTTTTTAGTCTATTAATATAATAGGATGATAAAGACCGAGAATGTCTCAAATAAGAAAAAAAATCTGAATATTTTTCTTATTTTGATGATTATGATTGCTGTTATTAATTTGATTTTTATGCTTTTTCTTATAAATGTTATACTTTAGATTATTTTTTGGTATAAAGATCAATCAACAGATTTTTTTTTATTTGAGCATAAGACACGTGAAACAAAACTTTTGATACTACATTTTTTCAATTACGAAAAATAAATATTAATGCAAATTTATCAATTGTCTTTAATTTGAAAATAACAGGACTCATGAAGACTTTTATTTAGCTTTAAATTCAGGTACCCATGCTACCACAATAACATAATTACGGCGATAAAATATGCAAGTAACATTTACATAGAATATTTCAAATGTCTTTACCAACTATAACTGTGTAACTGGTGGTTAAAGAACTTAGGTGCTTAAATATTCCATTGAAGATGTGTGTATGTGCCGCTTAGCATGTTTTGTAAAATTCTTAGAACAAGGTAAAAGTATATATGTATGATAAAACAAAAACCTGAAAGTTCAAAAACAAAATTTATGCTTTATTACAATAACCGCATAAGTTTAAAACCTTTCACCAAATATCAGAATATAAATCTATACAAAGATTAAATTATGATGATTTGAATTTTTTGAAATCTTAAAATCGCTCTTCTGTAAAATTTGCGTCTTTCAGCTACTTAGTTGTACGTAGGATGTGTCGATAAGTTCGCTTCAGAAACCCTGGGATTCGGTAAAAATAAACTACGCATTCTGGCGAAAGCCCAGACTGGACACCATTGTCTTAAAATATCCATCCTGGGACTAATCAATTCAAGGATATGCCGGTTTTTTCTCTAAACGGAGGAAACGCCCCTGCACATCCTGACTGTTTGCGGACCCTTAGTGCGCAAATATAACACTTATCCGGGAAACTATGTACTTCGGCCAGAAGAAGTGAAACTGATCACAGCTATGCTACTCCTTCTGTTCATTGAAGACATAGGGTTTAGCAGTTAACTAAAGCCATAACAACAATAACCATTGATATTTTAGGTCGCAGTGATACTGGTCTTTCTAGACTTGTATAGCTGCTCACACAAAAAAATGCTATGCAGTCTGAATCTGTGGATTTACTAAAGATGTCGTATGTTTTGAAAATTTTGTCAGAATTTTGAAACAGTACGGAGCTTTTTGATCTGTTTTAATAACAGATAGATCCAATTTTTAAGCCAGCCCGATCCCGAAGAAAGAAAATATTATTTGTGTATGTAGCCGTAGGTGAGACCACTGATCCTAAAGAATTGTATAATATTAACCTGTGATTTATACAACTAAAAGTGCATTGGTTAAAGTTAGTTAGTTACAGCCTATATACGTCCCACTCCTGGGCACAGGCCTCCTCTCATTTCTGAGGGGGTTTTTAGGGCAAAAAATAGTCCGCCGCGCTGCCCCAATGCGTGTTGGCGAACTTCACATGTCTTAGAAATATATTTTTTCTTATTTCTCAGACATGCAGGTTTCCTCACGATGTTTTCCTTCACCGCCGAGCACGTGATAAATCAGCACTTAAAATTGCAATTAACAATTTTATTGCTGCCGGTGGGGATCGAACCCGGTTTGCTGGCGTATTGTGAAATTTACAGCGAGCGCTAACCATCTGAGCTACCACGGCTCTACTAAAAGTGCTTTGGTTGCTCGACTTAAACATGAAAATAATTCCTGAAAGGTCAAAAACTTGTGTTGAGTTGCAAATCAATTTAACATATGGACATAATGTGATTTCTCTAGTTGTAAATTAGTTCTGGAATTTATGAGCTGGAAACCATTATTCAAAGATTTTTAATTAGCAGAGGCACATAAAGTTCTCAGACTTATTAAAAATAATGATTGGCAGGATATTTTTCCCGAATGTGGAGACAGCACGTATCTTGCTGACTATACCTGTACTCTCGATAAACAAAAATGAAGTTTTAGTACATTAAAACATTTAAATATTTACCTACGTTTCTACTATGTATCAGGAAAGGATAAGAAGAAAAATAAAATAAGAAAAATAAATGTTGCATTAACACTTTACATTAACAAGAACGAAGTGAGATTTAAAACGCAATTACGTTAACAAGGATAAATACTCGTATGTACGTCGTTCTGGAAAGGCATTCATCTTTAACTTTTATTGCTTACGTTAAAGATTTACATGTTTCCTTTTTCAAATTTGCATACGTTGGTTATATACTGTATTAGTTGTATATTATAGGTAAATATAGATGTGTTCTTGATATTTTCTATTATTTAAAACACAAAGTTTTATACAGTGATGGAGCCTTAAAGTTTTGTAAAATAACATGTTCGATAGATTAATTATTCTCTTGTCACTGCTTGACTTTGATATACTAAACAAAGTCATGTTTTTCGAGAAAGCGCTAACTAGCACGCTTAACATGTTCTCTGTCCGCATATAAAATCATGATTACACCCACATGTCCACTTTAGATTTCAATTATAATAGTTTAATACAGATCCCAGTGAAACAGTTTAGATGATATTTATTTTTCATTTCTTTTAGGTTTTTTTAATAGGCCAAAAACCCAATGAGGTCAACCATGACCTTATTGGACGTGCGAGTATGAAATTATGTTATCCTAATATATATAAATATTTACAGCAAGGGTCGTGAGGTAAGAGTGACCTCATGAACGTGTCAGTAGAAGTCTCCAGTTAGGTCAGGGTTTACCTCATGGACAGGGAACGTGTTAACTTAAACCAGCAAGTTCAACCTTATAAATAGGCGTGTAGATGAGCGCACGGCCGATATTGTCATATTGGTAAAGTGTTACTTATTACTCGTTTTTAAATAAATGTTCATAATTTTTGAATGAATTTTCCATCATCACTGGGTTTTACAACAACACACGCACGCACGCACGCACGCACGCACGCACGCAGCACGCACGCACGCACGCACGCACGCACGCACGCACGCACGCACGCACGCACGCCGCAGCACACACGCACACACACACGCGCACACACACGCGCACACACACGCCGCACACACACGCACACACACACGCGCACACACACGCGCACACACACGCGCACACGCCGCACACACACACACACACACACACACACGCACACACACACACACACACACACATACACACACACACACACACAGCACACACACACACACACACACACACACACACACACACACGCAAATTATAAGGTAATCTATAGGAAAGAT